GCCCTTGTACTAAGCCATTCCTATCATGCAAACATTTTGGTCATTTCACATACCTTAAAAACCTGCATATCCTAACCTAATACCCCTCTAGATACTACCACATTTCTTCTTTTTAAAGGAGAACTCCTTCAAACATGAACTATAGTCATTACCCAAAATTGTTCTTCTCCTATTCTGCCTCGAGCCTACTTCAACAAGACGCTTTGCCCCCAATATTTCACAGAGTGCGCACTTATCAAGGTCAGCAATGAATTCCATGTTGCTAAACCCAAAGGTCAATCTCCAGCCCTTCGTCGACTTAATTAGCAGCAGAGCTTGACAAAATGGATCACTCTACCCTTCCTTGAAACATTTTCTAGAAAATCTGCCTCCCACAGATCTCTACCCTGATTTTCCTCCTTTCTCCAGCTATTGCTCCTCAGTTTCCTTTGCTGTTTGCTCCAGCTCCTCCTGACCTCTGCTCTGGAGTATCCAAAATTTCAGGATCGGACCATATGTTCTGGTGACTCCACTTCCTTGCTGAGCTCGTTAGTCTCAGGGCTCTAAATACCAAGTGCATGCTGATGATGACCTTCCCCAGGTCAGACACTCCCTGGAGACCTAGACTCACATACCCCAATGCCTACTTGTCGTCTCCAACTGCATCTCTAATCAGTCCCTAAAACTAAGCCTGTCTAAAGCTGATCTCTGGATTTCTTACTCTCCAGAATCACAAACACACATACACAAAACAAACACACCCTCCACCTCCTCCCAGTCCACACTCTTGATAAACACCACTCTTCCAGCTGTTCAAGCCTGAAAGTGTGTAACCTTTGTTGATCTTGTTTTTTTCTCTTACCTTCTACATCTCATCTATCCCCCCACATGGTCTGTTTTACCTTCAAAGCTGAATTTCAGTCTGATCATTTCATAGAGCTCCAGTGTTGACAGCTTAGTGTGAGGCACCATTTTTACAGTGGTTTCCTCTCTGGCACTTAGGTCTTCAACCCTCACCCCTCAACCAGAGTATTCTAAACAGAGTAGTGTGACACCACTGAAAGGTGACTTGGAGTAAGCAATCACGCACATGGCCTTACCATGACCAAGAACCTACAAGATCCAGCTCACCATTATCATCCTGACTTGATCCTCACTACTTCTCTCTCTACCTCCTGTAGCTACCCTGGCTCTCTCTTCATGGTCTCTCTGTACACCAGGGACATTCCTGTGATGGAAATTTCAACTGGCTATCTGGCATGTTCTTCCTCTCAATATTCATATGATCCAATCCCTCATTTCCTTTCCATCTTCACTCCAATGTCCCCCTTTCAGGAAATCCTTTCTTGAGCACCCATTCCCGAACTACAACACTTCAGTATTGCCTGGTTCCTTTCTTATTTTTCTCCTCTGTCTATATCCTTATCCAAAATTCTGAAAAATTTTCTTATTCATCTGACTATCTCTTTTATTTGAATATAAATTCCTTGAGGGCAGAAATTCTATCTGTTTCATTTACTTTTTTTTTTTTTTTTTGACAGGCAGAGTGGACAGTGAGAGAGAGAGACAGAGAGAAAGGTCTTCCTTTTGCCATTGGTTCACTCTCCAATGGCTGCCGCGGCCAGCGTACCGCGCTGATCCGATGGCAGGAGCCAGGTACTTATCCTGGTTTCCCATGGGGTGCAGGGCCCAAGCACTTGGGCCATCCTCCATTGCACTCCCTGGCCACAGCAGAGAGCTGGCCTGGAAGAGGGGCAACCGGGACAGAATCCGGCGCCCCGACCGGGACTAGAACCCGGTGTGCCGGCGCCGCAAGGCGGAGGATTAGCCTAGTGAGCCGCGGCGCCGGCCTTGTTTCATTTACTTCTGAACTTCGAGTGCCCACCAATTCTTAGAAAACAGTAAATAGTCAAATGAGTAAATAAGAAATAAATAAATGAATGGTCAAGCATATTGGAAAAAGAAACTAGACAGAACTCTTAGAAATAAAAAAATAAGTGAAATGAAGCTGCTGGATATAGAGAAAAATGTTTTCCAGAAGAACAACATAATATTAAAGTGGGATACTCCATGGTTCATCCTATGAAGATGGCATAAATTTGATTCCCAAATCAGTAATTATGGTAGTAAGAAAAACTAACTAAACTTCTCCATGAAAATAGATTCAAAACCCCCAAATAACATATTGTCAAGTAAAATCCAGCAATATATGAAAATAATATATCATGGCTAAAGTAGGTAGTCCAGTTCTATTTATATAAACCCCCAAAATTAGAGAATCCCAATACAAGTATCCTTCATTACCCAAACCTTTAGTCCAGTTACAGATTGACTGTGTTTTTCCAAAATTCACACATGAAATCTGATCCCACTGTGACGACACTGGGAGCTAGAGGCTTTCAAAGTAATTTATGAGGCTGGAGCTCTCATGAACAGAATTAGCACTTTTATAAAAAGATGTGAGACAGCCACCCAGCTCTCTATCTGCCTAGTACAGCTACAAAAAGCAGCAGCCAGTCTGGAACCTGCAAGAGGGCCTCACCAGAAACCACAAGGCATCCTTCTAGCCCCAAGACCTGTGGGAACCGTCTATTGTTAATATGAGATCAAGGCCGGCGCCGCAGCTCACTAGGCTAATCCTCCGCCTTGCGGCACCGGCACACCAGGTTCTAGTCCCGGTTGGGGCGCCGGATTCTGTCCCGGTTGCCCCTCTTCCAGGGCAGCTCTCTGCTGTGGCCAGGGAGTGCAGTGGAGGATGGCCCGAGTACTTGGGCCCTGCACCCCGTGGGAGACCAGGAGAAGCACCTGGCTCCTGCCATCAGATCAGCGTGGTGCACCGGCCTTGGTGGCCATTGGAGGGTGAACCAACGGCAAAGGAAGACCTTTCGCTCTGTCTCTCTCTCTCACTGTCCACTCTGCCTGTCAAAAAAAAAAAAAAAAAAGGCAAAAAAAATTAAAAAAAAAATATGAGATAAAACAGTGATAGCCCAGATAGTGAGTTGAGATACTGATGGTTCTATTTACTTTTTAAGTTAACTTTACTGATATTCACTCATATCCTCCCCCTACACTGTTCTATGGAGTTTAACCCAAATATAGATGGATTCATATTATCACCATCATGACCAGGATACAGCACAGTTCTATCGCTTCATAAAATTCCCTCACACAATTCCTTGAGTCATACTCTTCCTTCAACTCTCAACCCCTGTAACCACCAATCTGCTCTCCATCACTTTAAGCATCTCTCACCTAGAATATCACATAAACGGAATCATACAGTATGTAACCTTTTGATACTGGCTTCTTTCATTCAGTAAAAGACTTTGAGTCTTGTGTAAGTTACCACATGTAGCAACAGTTCACCGTTGTAGCTGTTGAATACTGACAGACCAGAGTTGGTTCATCCATTTAGCCAGTGAGGGACATTTGAGTTGTTTACAGCCTTTTGAGGTCATACATAAAGTTGCTATAAACATTTACATATAACTTTTTGTATGAACACAAATTTTCACTTCTCTTTGGGTAAATACCTAACAGCAGGATCATTGGATCACATGGTAATTACATGTTTATCTTGATGAGAAATTGCCATACTAGTTTCCAAACTAGCCATATCATGTTACATTCCCATCTGCAACAGGTCAGCGTTGCATCATTCTACTTTCTCACCAGCCCTCAGTACTATCAGCATTTTAATTATTATTAAATTTAGCCATCTTAAATGGTGTACAGTAGAAATTAAGTCTTTTTTGCTATTGAATGTTGGAAATCAATCAGCCATAGTTTGAGAATTTGAGAATCACCTAAAATCTTCTCTTAATTGATTTGGTTATTTGTCCAGATAGCAAAGGATATATAACTATGTCATTAAATTTTGAAGAAACACAACCAACTGATTAGCATCAAAACAGATAGTGGTTATGGAGGTAGATGTAATCCAGCAGGTACAGCTAAAATACTAATATATTTGCTGTAAGGTGGGTAGTGGTTACATGTGATGCCTTTTAATATTATTCTTGAAACTATATCCATGTTTTCTTTTTAAAGATGTATTTGTTTATTTCAAAAAGAGAGACCTCCCATCCACTGTGTCTATCCCCAAATGCCTAAAATAGACAGAGCTACACCATGTGAAGGCCAGGAGCCTGGAGCTCCATCAGGGTCTCCCATGCAGTGGCAGGAGCCCAAGTAGGAATCTGGATCAGAAGCAGAGGAGCAAGGACTTGAACCAGGCACTTTGTGATGTGGGTGTCCCAAACAGTGCTTAACCTACTATGCCCCAACACTGGCTTGACCCATATTTTTAATATATTACACATCAAAGATTTTAAAAGAAATGTATTTGAGGGACCAGTGCTGTGGCACAGCAGGTCAACTCTCTGCCTATGACAAAAGCAATCCTATAGGGTTACCAGTTTGAGACTGACTGCTCTGCTTCCGATCCAACTCCCTGCTAGTGTGCCTGAGAAAGAATGGAAGATGGTTCAAGTGCTTGGGCCCCTGCCACCTGCATGGGAGACTTGGAAGAACCTAGATTTTGGCTTTGGTCTGGTACAGCCCTGCCATTGAGGCCATTTGGAGAATGAATGAGTGGATGGAAGATGTCTCTCTCTCTCTTTCTCTCCCTCTCTTTCTCATTCCCTCCCTCCCTCCCCCTCTGTAACTCTGCATTTTAAATAAATAAATCTTTTAAAAAATAAATATATTTAAGCATATAAAACACATAAAAAGGAAAGTAGAAAAATACGTTTAAACCCCTCTTTCATGAGTTCAAATAGAATGAATTTAAAAACTCAAAAGCATTTTTTAGAATTTGAACATAAGACTTTCTTAAAGCATTCTTTAAAATCTGTTTAAATTTAAATTCAATGTCTTAACCACTATGTCAAATGCCAGTTGCATTGTTTCATTTTTACTGGTCACAGGTTCTTGGACACCATCTAGGTTGAACACTAGATTACACAGCTCATCCACAGCAGGTTCTGACTTCCACGGCCATCTTATGAGGAGTATGTTACCTGTGGTGACACTGGGGACTTTGGAGAGAAAGCTCTTGACAGTTCTGATGGGCACACCTCCTGTCTTGTCATCTTGCATCTTTGTAATGATGTCTTCAATCTGAAAGACAGTAGAGAAGCATTACTTTTCTACCACAAAATAGATCATTTACAAAGAGCCTAAATGTCTACATGTGGATGTCGACAGGGAATACGAAGGGGCAGAGACTAAGACTCTGAGTGGGAGAGTGCCAAAGCTCCAGCCTGACTCTGCTTCCAATCACAGCTTCCTGTTAGTGTATGCGCGCTCACTGGGGTAGGCAGGTTATATCTCAAGGACTTGGGTCCCAGCAAAGGAGATCTGAAGTGACTGCCTGGCTCCCAGATTCAGCCTGGTCCATCCCTGGCACTCGTAGGCTTTTGGGAAAGCACATCAGGAGATGCAAGATTTCCGTCTTTCAAATAAGATGAAAATAAAAAAATTTAAAAATGTATCAAGAAACCCTACCTGTGAAAACAAAACAACACAGAGAATCAGCATCTCCTGTGGACCAAGCACTAGTTGTGAGGAGGTCAGAGGCGACAAGAAAGAGCGTGAGGCATTTTCTAGAACAACTGCCAGTTCAGCAAGGTAAGGAGGAAAACAGACATTAAGATTGCAGAGGGGAGCCAAGATGTAATTCAAAATATGTGATCCAACCCCTCCCTTTTCACAAATTGGGTTTACATAAAGGTGGCATCACTGGAAACTGCCATACTTAATTCCTCCAAAATGGCAGTTTCCTGTGGCTCAAGGTAAGATGTTGACTTGAGCTAACCTACTGCTGTTGATAGACAGGGCTGCCTTTGGGACAGGAAAAGGTCCCCATGAGACCTACACCAAAGGAAAAGGAAGACAAAATCAAGGCATAGGAAGCCCTGATTGAAGAAGCTGGAAACGGGTCCCAGTGGGTGTGAATGGTGGCCCTGTCTAAGTCAGGACCAAGGCTGCCAAAAACAAGATCCTCTCCTCTTGAATGAACACTGCTAGAGAAAGACCATGGTGTGACGTAGGCTGTGCTTGGAGCCATGCAACAGCTCATTGGTAACATCAGAACAGGGAGTGGGGAAGAACCAAGAAGTATGAAGCTGCCTAAATGGAGAAATCCGTCTGTAGCTAAGTATTTTCCAGACAAAATCTTTAGAATAGGAGACAAAGAAATCTATAACAAGGGCATGGATCTTTAAGTTGAGGGGTGGGGGAAAGAAATTGGAGGAGGGGAGAAGATAATATTTAGTATTATCATGTGTTTTTTTTCCTCTAAGCAACAAAAATATGTGGTTTTTTTTTTTTTTTGACAGGCAGAGTGGACAGTGAGAGAGAGAGAGAGAGAGAAAGGTCTTCCTTTGCCGTTGGTTCACTCTCCAACGGCCGCTGCGGCTAGTGCACTGCACTGATCCGATGGCAGGAGCCAGGTGCTTCTCCTGGTCTCTCATGGGGTGCAGGGCCCAAGCACTTGGGCCATCCTCCATTGCACTCCCTGGCCACAGCAGAGAACTGGCCTGGAAGAGAGGCAACCGGGACAGAATCTGGCGCCCCAACTGGGACTAGAACCCGGTGTGCCGGCACCGCAAGGCGGAGGATTAGCCTACTGAGCCACAGTACTGGCTCAACAAAAATATCTTTGAAACACCAGAATGGATTCTCTGACTCTTCCTTTAACGGAGCCATGTAATCCTAAGGCTATAAATTTCAGCAGTAGCTCATCTAGTCTAACACAGTAGCACTGCAATTTGAGGTAAAGTGATTTTCCTGAGGACACATCACTAGTCACCTGTTCAGCAGAAATGGATTACTTGTTAGAAACAAAGTTAGGACAGGGTGTGACATCATCACCACTACTGTCACAGCCAAGAGACATTAAGAACTTACCATACATAGCTTCTCATGTTTAACTCTCAGAACTGCTTATAAAGCAGATCCCACTATCCACTTTTTCAGATGAAACAAAGATTTAGTGAGGCAGACCAGTGAGGATGAACTGGATGAAGTTGCAGTAGCAGATAACTCTCCAAAACCTCAGTGGCTTAACACAACCACGTTCATTTCTCCGTGCTCTGCCTGTCTAAGCCAACATGCTCATGGTAGTTCCTCTGGGACCCAGGCTCATGGAGGAGCCACTGTCTCGAACACTGCTAGTTGTTATGCCAGAGTGGTGAAGACAGAATTCTGAAAAGTCTCTCCCAGGCTGTTAAACAGTACAGCCTAGAAGTTAACACATCACAGTTTGCTCCAAGTTCTTTGGCCAGAACCAGTCACACAGTACCACCCAACAGCCATGGAGCCCAGGGGCTCAGTCCTTTGGATTCCAGGAGGAGGGCAGAACTGAACATGGGTTTCAATGTCCATGACAATCAAGAGATAAAGCTACCTTCTTGATCTTCATAAGGTCATACAGTGACCCAATTGCAGAGCCACGTTTGACCTCAGTCACAGGCTTGAGAGTTCAGGATTCTTTTTTTTTCTTTTTTAAAGATTCATTTATTTATTTGAAAGGCAGAGATGCAGAGGCAGAGAGAGAGAGAGAGAGAGAGAGAGCGCACAAGTGAGAGAGAGAGAGATGGCCACACAGCCAGAGCTGAGCTGATCTGAAGCCAGGAGCCAGGAGCTTCTTCCAGCTCTCCCACACAGGTGCAGGGGCCCAACACTTGGGCCATCTTCTACTGCTTTCCCAGGCCACAGCAGAGAGCTGGATCAGAAGAGGAGCAGCTGGGAATTGAACCAGCACCCATATGAGATGCCGGCACTGCAGGCAGCAGCTTTACCTGCTATGTCACAGCATCAGCCCCCAAGAGTTCAGGATTCTAATGCCCAAGCTCTGTGGTTTTCTGATAAGATTCCAGGAAAAGCAGCCACACAGGGAAACCATTCACCCCAGGATATTTCTGGGCTGGCCTGAGAGTCACTGAGAGTGCAACAGCATCATCTGCCAGCCCCTCAGGGGATGGATAAGTGCATCATTCTAAAGAAAGGCTGTCCTCTGAAGACCCACATTTTAATCCGTATTCATGTCAATCATCTCAGAGATTTCCTGCCTTCTGTCTGCTAACCTCAACCCAACAATCTCTAGTAGGAGTTGAGTCTTATTTATTGATAGCTAAAGAGAGCAATTCCTAGAACAATGGTCACATTTTCAAGAAGCCTATGCTTTGGATCTAGTGTGTTATTTCAAACCAGAAGTGTCAGGGCTGGCATTGCGGCATAGCAGGTAAAGGCACCACCTGTGATGCCAGCATCCCATATGGGCGCCAGCTGAAGTCCAAGCTGCTCCACTTCCCATCCAGCTTCCTCCTAATGTGCTTGGGAAAGAGCAGTGGAAGATGACCCAAGTTCTTTGGCCCCTCAACCCATGTGGGAGACCTGGAAGAAGCTCCTGGCTTTGAACTGGTGCACACCCAGCTGCTGTGATCATGTGGAGGGTGAACCAGCGATGGAAGATCTCTGTCTCTCCCTCTCTCTCTGTAACTCTTTCAAATAGATATATTGTAAATATTGATTGATTGATCGATCTTTATAAGCAAATACATGAAACCAGAAGAGTCATTTTTACTGATGGCTTCTATGAAATGACCAGAAAAGCCATGGAGAATTGGAGAGAAACCAGTAATTCAATTCAGTTAGAACCCTGAGTGAACACTAGATGGCAGTAATTTCCAGTCTCTGCTGCTCTGGGTTAACTTTGAGGGACTGTAGAGCGGGATTCTGCAGGCCTCCTTTCTCCTCTGCCAAGTTTAGCTGCTTCATACACGACTGAGCCCTAAGAGGACTTACATACAAAACAGGAAGTCCTGTCTTCCTAGGTAGGCCCACAATGTATCAAGAGGTCTTGACTCTGGGATTACAGCCAGATCAAAAGGAGATGTTGCCTCCACTGACTCCATGCCAGCGATAGCTGACAGCATCAGAGGTGTGGGGAGCAACTCGGACTAGACTAAGTTACTGGAATTAAGACTTATTCTATGCATCTGCTCTCCCACAATATGGCGCTGGGAGAGGAGGAAACAGCTTCTACGCGGCTGCCTCTTGCCAACTTGAGTGATGACCTCCAGGAGCTGATCCTGCTCCTGATTGGAGGAGAGCAGCGTACTCGGCATGTGGGCAGCCGAGTTGGGATTGGCGGAAGAGGACTATAAAGGAGGAGAGAGACAACATGCACCAGGAACATCTAAGAGGAACATCTAAGGGGAACACCTGTGCAGCCCCCGAGAGAGCCGGCCGGCGGTGTGCCGCTCCCCCGCGGAAGTGGGGAATGTGGCAGGGGGAACCGCCCTTCCACGGAGGTGGAAGGGACGGTAGCCAACCCGGGAAGAACCAGCAGCAAACCCGGGGAGGGCCGAGCAGACGAAAGAACAGCGCAGGGTCCTGTGTCGTTCCTCCACGAAGAGGGGGAGCGACATAATGGTGCCGTGACTCGGATATGAAGCCTAGGCAGGGTTTAGTGTCGTTCCTCCATGAAGAGGGGGAGCGACAGGAGGTATGGAAGAATCAGTCACTGGCCTCTAATTCCCAACTCCACCATACTAGTAGTATATTCTGGATTCTCTTCCGTGGCCTCACGGAGGGCTGGGAGTTTACATTTTGATTGGGCTTGGTCATAGGACTTGCCCAGATTCTTGGCTGTTACTGAACGCAACATGAGGAATCAGGGGCAGTGCACCTGCACGGTTGCGCTTGGCTTCTTGTCTTGCCTAATGCTCTTTGGCATGAGAAGCACAGGGCTCAGATGCTTGTCCACCCAAGGAAGGTGAGAGCCATCCTCAGCAAATGGGACTGAACTCACAGCCAGATCTGCCGCACCTCAGCTGACCTGCAACTCGGGAGCAAGCAATACATGCTTGCTACTGAATGGCACTAAATTTAGGAAGCTTTGCTTTACAGAAAGACAAAGACACATGGCTCTAAAAAAAACCTGCATTTTTCAAAAATTGCTTAAGTCCCAACAGATACCTGACAATCAGGATCTGTGAACTGTGCTGGAGTATCTTTGGATCCAACCCTTTTCTAAGAATGTAGATATTCAATTTACACCATCCATCACCACTTACAAGCTCTTAGAGACTATACTGTGGCAAATAGCTTAT